ATATACAGTATATATTTCGCTCAAGCAAAATATAAGAGATTTATATATAAGTATAAATATAAGAATCTTATATTTATTTAATAAGTGTAAGAAGCAAATCTGTTAAAGACTGGATGATTTACGAGGAAAAAAAAACTTCTAGGTAGCATTATTGCTCATAATTAAGTAAACACAAGCGGTATATCATAGAAATATTGAACACTTACTAGGCGAATACAGTATAGTTACAGTTACTTCATCACATCATATATTTCGCAATAATTTATCCACTGTCATTTTTGCCAAAGCTTCCTTTCACAGATATTGAATCAATTTTAATTACCTGTAGAAAACATAGTTTTATAGAGAAACTAGTCGTACTTTTTACTGTTGCACCTGCCTAGAAGCATAATAGATAAATTGTTGTTTAAACCAGGTACCTTTCTAATTTTAATACATTTTGTATATATGCTAAAACCTGCTTATGAAGCAGATCAACAATCAGAAGGCTCATCACAAACTATGCCCGAGAAACACAAAAACATTTCAACAGATCAACAGCAAGAAAAAGAGCAAAGGGTAGTACCGGAAGCTGGTAAGCATAGAGTGATTGGTTTGATCTCGTTTATAGTTCATTTGCAGCAGTAATTTATCAAAATTTAGGGTAGCATTTCATAAGTTATAAATTCGATCTTAAGTTATAATAACTAAATAGCATTTCTACTATACTCCGTATGAAATCAATCCGTGTATTACTTAACGTAAAAATTGATGTAGTTATCTTACAGTATTGCATGGAATATTTACATCTACTGCAACTAGCGATGATTATACTTAACTTTTGCAGCTTGCTCTTAACTATCTTACTAATGCAAATTGTTAGATGAGTGCATGATCATCAGCTGCTGCTAATAAATTAAATACGCACGCAGTTACCAGTAAAGTTATGAGCGGTTACTTTTAAAACATACATCGTCAATTTTTTTAATATTGATGATTTAAATATTACGCAAAACTGATAAAAAATTTATCCATGGCATGAAAATAAGTACTAATATCACCTCGTATAGCAGCTCCTTGTATCCGTCTAATATAGTTAATTTTCCCTTAATTCTACAGTTTAAACAGCTCACCTTTCACTTTCTGCACTATACAGTACATACATCAACATTCATAAAAAAAATTTATCGAAGTATTAGTGCAGACAGGAAAAAAATTGGCAATTGAATTAGATATTGACCGAAACGAAATGAAGAATATTTCACAAGAATATCCTAGTATGGATATGCGATGTTATGAAATGCTTTATTAGGTTAGAGTCTGCAAAACGATGACTAAAATTGGATAAAGTTTTACCTGATCATTATAGTAGATCAATGACTGTATGGAAAGTAATTTAAGTGATATCATGAAGACCAGGAATCATCGTTAGTCATTAGCTTGACTAAACTTAATTGTGAATATTTTCCAGTATTTATATACAGTACTATATAAGTGCATTTCCAGAAATCTTATCGATTCGTGATGTAGCTTATACAATCGATAATATGTCTATTTGGAAAGACACGAAAAAGGCCTTATTAAGTACATACAACTAAGAGTAATTTAAGCGATTCCATAAAGACTAGGAACCATCATTAGTAATTTAGCTAGACTAAACTTTATTTATGAATAATTCCAGTATTCATATAGAGTACTGTATGAGCGCATTCTCAGGAATCGTATCAATTTGTAAAGTAACTTTATAGAATCGGCACCATATCTATTAGGAAAGACATCACAAAGAGCTTATCTAAGCTCATATGGCTAAAGAGTAATTCGATATTATAAAGACTAGGAACTATCATTTAATTAGCTTGGCTGAACTTGTTGGTATAACAATTATTCCTTGGAAAAATTGATTGGAGAACTATCAAAATCTGATTTCAACATTCAAGGCCTTGAATTCATCGTATATGAAACGTTTATTTTGTGACCAAAAAAGAAGACTAGGATCAGATACAGGCAATATCAGGTACATAACGTAAATAACATATTATTACTGAAAAATTTTAATTTGATATTGCAATTATAGACTACTTCGTCTAGCCATGAACTAGCAGTAATACTTTACGGATCATTCAGTTTTAAACTACTGTTAACAAGATGCGATAAAATAGCATTTAAATATTCTACATTCTTAGTTTAGCAAAATATAGACAGTATACGATTCTTATCTGTCTTGGTTGCTCTCTAATTTTAGGAAAATGGACCTTATAAACTAGTTTAATTCTGTAGTGAATATTTTATCGTTTTTTGCCATAGACGAAAATCTGTCGACGACGATAAAAATGGAAGATGATGGGACGTCGAGGTTTCGGAGCAGGGGCTGGAGCACGACGACGACGGCGGCGGCGACGGCGCCAAAAGGCCTGCTATAGTAAATTTCAAGTTGAAAAGAGTTTTAGTATTTAGATAGATATATTTAAAAAATTTTTAATTTTATGGAATATTTGCATTAAAAGACTACTCATTTTCACAATTAACAGCGCAAAGTTAACTTGTGAGAAGGAGCTGATTTTAGGATAAGATTGCTTGTAGAAATGTGTTATTAAATGACTTTGAATCCTCAATTATCATTATAGATTATCCTAACTATGAAATGTAAAATACTACCAAATTATGCCGTAACTATGATAAGCTTACTGATAATTATAGACAGTAGCTTCTATATGTATTATTATTATAAATTGCAAGGTATCTTATGATGAAATTGCTTTAGTAATGCACGATAAATTTACTTTGAATCATATAGTATCATAGTAGATCATACTACCTATGTAATATAGAATGTCACCGAATAATGCCTTAATTATGATAGATGTACTGATAATGATAGATAGCAGTCTCGTCTGCATGGTAGTATTATTAAAAGCTACGATGTATAATTATCCTAAATACTCACGGTGCTTTTCTCGGTTAGACCATTCTCAAATTCTGAATCGAATCCTTTATCCATGTCATAAGACTCATCTATTTCTCCAAGTTCGTTGTATGCATCTTTGTCGGCAATTTCGTACGGGTCTAGTTTATGGACATCCTTTTCAGCAATATCGTAATAGCCTGGTCCATGCCCACCCTTATTGTCATTATCGAGCTTAGAATTGTCATCTTCAGTGGCGTAAGCAAATGCAAAGAGAAATAGACACGCAATGAGAGCCAATTTAGTATTCATTTTCTTGCAATGATCCTTCTTTATAGTCAATGAAATAAAGATTAATTTTTAGTACTGGATAGACTGTAGTATTCGAATTGAAATTGAAATGATGAATATACGGCATCTTCGAATATAGTATAGATTGAATGATTAATACATATTATTGCGACTATAACCTTGATTTTTAAAAAACGCTTAATGTTAATACGTACCTCAACAACTTTTAATTTTCTAAATTAATTCTTGAGATAAATTCTGCGATCCTTCCTGAATTTCCAAAGTAAAGCAATAGACAATATTTTAAGGAAGCTTAGTGTTCGATTTCCAGTGGTTAAGATTTTGAGCTGCAAGATAGCTGTTTATATATCCTAGCTTTAACAAAAGGAACGTCTTACTTTTATAAATGATTGATAAATATTCGAGCGAAATTAAAATAAAGTCATAGTTCTAATCAATCTGAGAGTGTTTGCATTGTAATTTCCTCAGTATCGATATCTTTAATTTCGATAATTCAGGAAAATTTCAACTAAAAAACATCGTTTTTATTTGTTCACACGCTTATTATTATCTTCAATTTTATATGCTTTATTGTAAAAATAGTGCATTTTGGATAACGAAAAGGTAATAAAGAGGAAGGTAACAATTCTTTGTGTTTTAAATCAGGGAAATGAAAGTATTAACGACGGGTTGAAGTCACATAATAAATGGAGTATTAAGATAATATTTTCAATGGGTTGTTACAAATTAGTCTGATCTCAATAAAATTTCTCTTAAGATTGTTATTTA